GTATTGCATAAATGAACTAAGTACATTGAATTAAATTGTCATCTTAACCTTAATAAAATTCAAGAAGGGATTTCAAAGACTACACACATCTCTATAAAGTCCTTTGTTTGCATATTTGTTGTCTTATCATATGCCCAAGATAGGTATAATCAACTCCTATGCTCCATCTTATTGAGGGATGTTAACGAATATGGAACATAGAAAGTAGTTGGAAGAGAAAGGATAATTGTTTCACCATTTTATTACTGTATTTCCATTATTTCAATCGAAATTAGTTAGGAATTCTTCGTCCTTTCCTTTAGCTTTCTGGCATGTCATATAGCTGGTTACATGTAACATTCTTTTTGTGTGGGATAAATTTAGTTAGTAATCCTAGTATATATATATATATATAGGCTCTCTTTTTTCTCTTTATAATTTAATCAAATAGTTGGAATGAGAATGATATTAAAAAAAGGAAAACATATTGACCTGAACTCTCTCATTTCTGACTCTTCCTTTCCCCTTCTCCTTTTATAACCTTTAGGATTTCTTCAACCTTCGTCTTTGCTTCCTTTTTCATAACAAAACAATATGCATATCTGAGGGTTTAAAAAACATCTTTCATTTCTCTTAATTTCCATCTTTTCAAGGAAAATAACAGTCTTCATAATTTTGGATCTCTTTTTGTTTATGTTGAATTGTGTATTAAGAGAATGTTCTTTAAAGAGATTGTTGAAGATAAATTGCTTATGGTTTTACAAGCATGTTCAAAGGTAGATTATAAGTTTCATCGAATGAACTATTTTTCCTTCCTTTTAATTACAGGTAAATCAAAATTTATTCCAATAAACAAATACATCAGGAAAAAATCAAACAAGAATATGATATAAGAAAGTTATATGTATTAATTACAAACAAAAAACTTACCTATATTCATGTTGCATTTTCTAAAGCTTACATTAGAATTCTTGAAGTTATCTATATTGCACCTAAAGCGCAGTTCTATGACTAATAGTATACTACATAATTAGCTCACGCCATATTGTGGGTCAAATTAATTTTTCTTAATATAAAAACAAAATCAGATGTTGATGTTGTTAACATGTTTTCTAGTAAAAAATTTTAAATCATGTGAAGGCTGACCCGATATAACCCAAGCAACTTAACAGGTCCAAAGATAACTTGGATATATGTTAAAACATTGTTTGATTAAAAAGAATTTCAAGACATCTTTATTTAGAATTTTGAGATAGAAACATATTCAATCAACATACCTGTCAAATCCATGACTAGTATCATAAAACCAACATAACCCTATAAAAGCAAATCAAAATAAATTATGAAACCCAATTTCTAATCAATCCAAATTTCAAGAATTAAATTAAAAATAAAACAATTAAAAAAACACAAAAATAAACAACTTGAGTCAACCTAGGTTAAATTGTCAAACTTATACCCCAAGTTATGTAATCAGAATAACCTCATAGAAAGTAAATTAAAATAAATTATGAAGCATAATTTTCAATCAACCTAATATTAAATGATATAATAAAAAAATTGAAAAAAAAATCTAAAAAAAAAGGATCAAAATCAACTATTATTAACTTGTTAAACATGTGACTTGTATCATAATATCAAGATAAATTCTTAAAAAATAAATAAAAAAAACTATAAAACCCACTTCAAAAATGAATCAAATATTAAAGGATAAATTTTTAAAAAAAAAAGGAGCAAAAAAATTCTGAATAAATCTACTAAACTCGTGGCTAGAGTCATGAGACTATGATAAGAAAATTAAATGAATCAAATATTAAAGGATAAATTTAAAAAAAAAAAGAGCAAAAAAATTCTGAGTAAATCCGCTAAACTCGTGGCTAAAGTCATGAATAAGAAAACTTAATGTTGAATAATAAAAAAAAAAAAAGAAGAAGAAGAAGAACAAAAAGACCTACGCTAATCCATTTAATTTATAATTTGAATTATGATATCAATGTAATGTTAAAAAGTAAAATTGAAGAGAAAAACTAATTAAAAACCAACAATTGGGTGTGCTTAAAACATTGTAATGGCATAAAATAGTCTCCGCTCTTCTTTTAAGTGTTTCCTTGACTGATATTCAGCAGGATTGGGCTGCTCTATCAGAATTCTTTCTTTTGGCTTCATTTTTTTTCTTAATATAATCTTCTTTTGTCTGAAAGAGAAGCTAACATTCGCCGTACTAATCTTCATTTTAGTTTAACTTTACAATGACTTCTAAGTTGGTCAAGCCTTTTGGCTCGACATGCCAAACCTTATAGAAGATCCTGTCTCTGCATCAATATTAATATTAATATAATGTCATTTGCAATAGAAATATATATAGCTATAACCCGTTGTCTGGTGCATTCAGCATGGTTTCTACATACATACATATCTATAACATGTTGCTGTTACATATGTATTTGTGAAAGACTTCTCTTAACCTCTTATGAATAAAATAAAACTGCCTCGTGTTCAATACTATGAATTGGCATTGTTTATCTTCCTTGAAGCCAACTGTCTGCTTGTTGATCACTTTTCTAATCACCTTACTTCGACAAAAAAAAAAGAAGAAGAAGAAGAACAAAAAGACCTACGCTAATCCATTTAATTTATAATTTGAATTATGATATCAATGTAATGTTAAAAAGTAAAATTGAAGAGAAAAACTAATTAAAAACCAACAATTGGGTGTGCTTAAAACATTGTAATGGCATAAAATAGTCTCCGCTCTTCTTTTAAGTGTTTCCTTGACTGATATTTAGCAGGATTGGGCTGCTCTATCAGAATTCTTTCTTTTGGCTTCATTTTTTTTCTTAATATAATCTTCTTTTGTCTGAAAGAGAAGCTAACATTCGCCGTACTAATCTTCATTTTAGTTTAACTTTACAATGACTTCTAAGTTGGTCAAGCCTTTTGGCTCGACATGCCAAACCTTATAGAAGATCCTGTCTCTGCATCAATATTAATATTAATATAATGTCATTTGCAATAGAAATATATATAGCTATAACCCGTTGTCTGGTGCATTCAGCATGGTTTCTACATACATACATATCTATAACATGTTGCTGTTACATATGTATTTGTGAAAGACTTCTCTTAACCTCTTATGAATAAAATAAAACTGCCTCGTGTTCAATACTATGAATTGGCATTGTTTATCTTCCTTGAAGCCAACTGTCTGCTTGTTGATCACTTTTCTAATCACCTTACTTCGACCACTTCCTGTAATATTTTAATTTCTATTTTTACTTCTGTAGAAGTTATAATACTATTAAGACCTGAATATTGTGCACGTTTTTGACATATTCACAACCTTGGCATGCTTGTCTGTCAGTATATTTGCTACTGAATTAGAGAAGCAGAGTTATCTTATGGGGCGGTAGAGATTCAAGAACAGTGAGTTTAATAAAATAAGAAAGTGGAGTTGATTTTCAAGGTCCTGCCTTAATTAAGTCGTTTAGTGGCTCTATATTGAGTCCTTTTCTGCTTAGTTGACGTGAACCGGTCATGATTTAGATGGGCGATGTAAAATAATGGAGTGGTGGCCTCAGCCATCTTGAGCAATTGGCGTTGATGGCTTTGCGGTAAGCATGCAACGACGACGATATATTATGATGATGATGATGCAGGAGATGGCTTCTTACTCAGACGAGAATATAAATGACTAAATCTTTTTGATCTTTTCCCGATACGGTTTTCCTCCTTTCCTTTTCATTCCTTGTTGACAAGTCTTGGGTTTTTCTCTCACTTAACCTTGTCAGTTGATTTGCTTTCCCCGTGTTTTTTTCATGTTAGAATAAAATAAGATTTTCATTAAATATCAATCTAGATATAGATGATTTGTGTCCACTGAAAAAGATTTGGTTTCAATGCGTAAAAGTCTTTGAAGAATACTGTGAGAAATTGAAATCTAAAAAGGAAGTTGACAGAAAAATATAGTTTGCGTCGCAAAAGTCAAGTGGGGTTTAATGAATTGCTTGTATGTTATCTCCATCACACCTTATTTAAGCAGAAGATTATCCCTAATTTCCCAAAATTTCTCATCTTGGAAGTTGGAACTTGAATTTCCTCATGTGAATGCTTCCATTTTTCTTCCCTCTACAGAACGAACAAGTCAAACCGTGTAAGATAATCAGGAAGGTGGTGGTAATTTGGAGTTCCAATAAAGCGAAAGGAAATTAAGTCTCGATCTCTGCAGAAAGTAGTGGGTGTGTGGAACTTTTTAGAAATATTCGAAGCAAGTCGAGGAATGAAGTTGGGGCATTCCTTTAGTGATCCTGAAATTCCACGCATGCAAATGCTGGTGGCGGAGTTCTTGGGCTGATGACCTTTTGATGCCATAGTCTACTCTAAATTTGGATTAAAAGAATACTCCCTTGGGATCCTGTGATCCCTACAGAGAATACCACAAAAACAAATGTAGATAACTAAATAACAATTCTGAGTGCAATTTTCATGGTAAAACATGATAAACAGTGTCGCTTACACTTAACTACCAAAAATCAAATTTGAAGATCAAGATTATAAGATTTTAATCCAAAAAGAAACATTTAAAATGGTAAAAATAAGTAAAGATCTGAGATGAGGAGATCTTAATTAGTTAAGTTGTGATATTATTTTTTTTGATAACCAATGAACAAGCAACATGGTTTGTGACATATGGGATAAAATTTTAAGATTTTAAACATGCAACGAGCTCCTTTTTTACACTAGTTTAAAAAATAAAAATGTTTATTTTGTATTTTCTTGAGGAGTCCTCGTTAGTTGATAGTATTTAATTAATATCTTGGCAAAATTGTTAAAATACTCGATACAGCTTGGTTTGTAGCTAGTTTACTGTCTTAGCTATGTTACTGGTAGAATAAATAAAAAAAGAACATGAAAAAAATAAATTCAAGGCAACCTAAACTAGATGATCGATAAAAAGTTGGTTAAATTTATCGACAAAGCAAAACTTGTGCTTTGTTTCGATAAAATTTGATATTTTCCCTGAGTTTGTGGAGAAAATTCCCGACGGGATGTCACCAGAACAAGCAGCACTACTATTAAGCGCTGGATTGAAACAAGAGTGAGCTAAGAGGAGGGATTTTAGGACTTGGAGGAGTAGGACACATGGGAGTGAAGATAGCAAAAGCAATGGGACACCATGTAACTGTGATTAGTTCTTCTGATAAGAAGAGGGAGGAGGCTTTGGAACATCTTGGTGCTGATGAATACTTGGTCAGCTCGGATGGGGAAGGCATGCAAAAGGCAGCTGATTCACTCGACTATATATCATCGATACCGTGCCTGTGGTTCATCCTCTTGAGCCTTACCTTTCTTTATTGAAACTTGATGGCAAGTTGATCTTGATGGGTGTTATTAATGCCCCATTGCAGTTTGTTACACCTACGGTTATGCTTGGTGAGTCTCTTTCCATTTACTTTAAATATTAGTTATCTGTTTTCTACTTACTTTTCATTTAAGAAGATTTCAGGAAAAGATTTGTTATAATCCATAATCCCTGATAAGGTGCTTCTTTTCATATGCAATATTTTGTGTAGGGAGAAAGTCAATCACTGGGAGCTTCATAGGGAGCTTGAAGGAAACAGGGGAGATGCTTGAGTTCTGCCAGGAAAAGGGATTGACCTCCATGATTGAAGTGATCACAATGAATTATATCAACATGGCATTCGAGAGGCTCGAGAAAAATGATGTGAGATACAGATTTGCTGTCGATGTTGCGGGCAGCAAGCTTAGTCCTTGAACAAAAATGTTATTCATATTAAAAAAAAAAAAAACCTTAAGGCCCTCAGTCAATTACTATGGCTACCGAGTGTACACACCATGGATTGAAGCAATTCTTCTCACGTGAAGAGCTGGATTCGTTTTGTGTTCTCGAGCGAAATTGGGATTAATGGGGATCTGATTGCATGTTAGTTTCTTTCTGTGAGATGGGGGTTTTTGGTATGTTAGTCCTCGGCTGAGTGCATCTTTGGGTTTGGGAGAGGCTTCAGGGTTAGGTTTGTTGATGGCTCTGTCCAAGAGGGGCACCGTCTTGACTCCATGGATCTAGTTGGTTTGTGGGGTTTTGACTTGACTTAAGTTGTTGGGTTGTGGCTGGTCAATAGATGTCAGATGTTTGGTGTGCTCTCATTCTTCTAGTTTGTTGAATGTGGAAGGGTTAGCTATTAAATGCAAGGCTTACCTATAAAGTTCCCGGTTGCTTGATGATTAGTGGGAGAGTGTTAGGTTGGTGCAATGGGATTGGATTTTAGTTAATTTTCAGTCTTCTAAAGTTTAAAGGGTTGGTGTTTGCCTTTGTTTTTGACAAATAAATACTATATTATTGTGCTGGGTTATTTCTTTCAATTATTTCATTTAGATCTTGCTAGATTCCATGGATTTTGATTAGATTTCACGTCTAAAATTACAAAAATTGGATTTAGTATTTTTCATGAATACGTGATCTATTGTTATTTATGTTCAGACAAACAGGAATAACACATGTAAATATGCAATAACACATAAATAAGATTGTAATAATATAATCAAATTATTAAGTAATTGATTATGTATGAATAATCAAACAACCAGCTAAAATCATTACAGTTCGGCAGCGCGAGGATAAATGATCCATTGATATTATTGAATTGCCTTTCAAACTTTACCTTATTACGGATGAAACATAATGACAGCATTGACATTTTGTAGCCTCTTTTTTCTTCTTTGGGAAAACACGAACTGCTTAAACCTAATTACCACGTTAATTGGGCTTGATGGTGAAGGCAAGGTACAAATTTAGAGCCCAACCAGGCGGGCGGGTTGGATTGGTAGAATTAGTAATCCAATTACCAGGTTAGGTTGAATTCGTGTTTATTTTTACATTCAAAAAAAATTAAAAATTTTAAAAAAATTAAAAATATATATTTTAATTTAAAAAAAAAGGGGTGCGGGGTGGGGGGGTCAAAAGAAACCACTATACGCAACCCTTTACATAGTGACCCCATCCACCTAAGCGCCCACATTTTTCAACCTCGCGGCGTGATCTAAATGGCAAAGAGGCAGCACGACAATCATTACCTGATCATTAACCGAGTATGCTTTTTTTAGTAATGAGATTCGTGTGCGGTAGTTGAAAAAAATTATGTTATAAAAAATATTTATAATTAAAATTAATTTAAAAAAATATATATTTAATTGAAATTAAAATTGAATAAAAAATAATTTAATGTATTTGGTTAAAAAATAATTTTCAAATTAAAAAATAATTTAATGTATTTGATTAAAAAATAATTTTCAAATTGAGTTTATAAAATAATATATATATATAGTTTTTAATTTAAACATTATAAATTTAATTATTGTTATTACTTTATGAAATAAATAATATTTTATATAAAATATTATTTATTGTTCCATTAAACTATCTACAATTCCATAACATATAAAATACATCCAATAAAAATTACAGTTTTTACAAGTTTTTAAGAACGCAACACCATCAAATAAAATATAATGAAGAATAAAATTGAGATTGCAGTCAAATTCTACAAATACTATGTCATCAAGCAATTTTCATCTAATTTATATATTGTTGTTAAAATTCTACAAATATTATATCATCAAGCAATCTTCATCTAATTTATATATTGTTGTTGAATAATTTTTAACACTATTTTTTCAAATAAAACACAATTAAAAATAAAAAATAATTTTTTATTTTTATTTTATTAAATTAGACTCAATTTAATGTATTTTCAACTTTAAAATTAACTCAATCCAGCAGAAACAGTGAGACATGGCTACACTATCCAGTAATTCTTCCCAAACAACAAAATACAGCTTCTCCAAAACATGTAGCACAGCTGCAAAGTTGGTAAATCCTAACAGCATAAAGTATTTTTTTTCTTCTTAATCAAATAATCTTATACGTGGCTGCGGTTAAACCCTCACCCAGAACTACGCTACCGAACACTCACTAAGTGCCGAAAGAACAACGAAGAACTCTTATGGGTGCCAAAAACTCTTGAGAATTATTGGAATAGACGGCACAGAATATCCATCGCAGCTACTACCCGATAACATTTACCAAATATGCCAGCGCCGAAAGTATGGCTATCACATTATGGATTTCATCTTCATGATAACATTCAGATACTCCGGCCCAGTTGGAGGATGTAGAAGATGCATAAAATTTACATCGTGAAAAGGGATCTATCATATTCACGTTCCCAAATAAAAGACATCAGCAAATCATTACATTCAATAATAGATCCGCTTGAACAATGATATTGACTGTCAAAAAAAGAACGATTCTACCCTGACTTCAATCGGTTTGATGTCCACTTTGCAATGGGAAAAGGCCTGCAAGAAAGCTACAAAGATTTTCATTCTGCTATCCTCCGTCACTTTTACAACATGTATGTGAAGAAATTATGGCCAACCCATTGTTGATGCAGTCTCCGAACTATCTCCCATCACATAGATGTGCCCCCCGAGATGTTAGCTTAGTAAATCACACCCTTTGACTAAAGTACACATTCATTAAATATCTTGAAGGATTGAAGCCACTTAAAATCACTGCAATGTTGAAAGAACTAAGAGGTTGAGGTACAAAACAACCTGATACCAAGGTCCAGTGAGAAATTGCACTCAAGTACTTACAAATAGGAGATAGGACAATGATAAGACCGATTGGATAGAGGAAAAATGTTGTTCTCTCCAGGAAGGGCAACACTGCAATAATTTCAAGACATGTTATCAGTAACTTAATTGATTAAGGTTATCAGCAGCTGTATCATTACAGCAAAAAAAAAAAAAAAAAGTTTAATAGCCATCCAAGTTTGAACCCATATCCAGGCAAAACCTTCAACCGAACATGTTTAGCAACCCTTCAGCAAGGACTTTCTTTTGTTTTCAGGAAGCGGAAAAGAATCACTGGATTTCTGGCAGTGAGCTCCTGCCACTAAGACCCAGTGTTTCAAAAACTGATCCAGTGACTGAACCAGAAAGAACAGGAGGCAAGGTGTCAGAACCTCATCCAGGATCATACTGGAGTAGATATATACTACGGATCTTTTGGTGTCAACTTATTCAACTAAACCTATATCCTAAATGCCATTCATGGGCGCCTAAAACCTATCTTTCATGCAACAAAGTGAAGCAACTGCAATTTTTATTTTCTATCATTTAACTCTTTTATTATTTATGTACAGCATTTGTGCGGTTTCTTACACTATTACAAGTGATAAGAATATCTCATAGGTCATTTATTTCATAAAAAAACACATGATGTGATTACATCGAAACATCCTTGGCAATCGTGTCATCATGTTTAATACAAATCACTTTAATTTCCACAGCCTAGGATCAAGGCTCCAAGAGAATATCAATGATGAATCTTGAAAACAAGGTGAAATTCCAGCAGTTCAACAAGGGTTTCCAACTGGATAATCAGTCTGACCAAGTCAATACAGTCCAACTCAGGCTTATATCAAGAACAGGTAGAAGCTCTAACTCAGGCTAGGAAAAGATGATGCTTTAAGGAAACAGGTTTGGCATTCCAGTTCAATCTAGGTCCAAAATGCTGCTCGAAACACGTAATTGAGGTAATGACATGGATACCAATTCATCCAAGACCTTGAAGTTATTCTAAATAATTTGCAAGCTAGTGATCTTTTGTAGGAAAAAAAACTGTTCAGAAAAGCATTAAATCAGATACTATGAAAATTTAGCTCACCATAATAGCCTAAAAAGTTTAGGTAATGATAGTACGAGGCTGCCACCATGAACAGCAGGTTCGACAGCAATACAGGTATGAAACCATGGGCAACTAGAAGGGGTGACAGGAAATAATGTATAACTGCAACAAAACCAGGACATTAGTAATACTGTGGTAGCATAAACTGAGATCCAAGAACTAAAAGCTGAAACATATATTAACATAGCACTTACCATAAAGCATGACAAACATTGGGAAGAAAGAATTGCAGTGCACATCAAACGCATATAGCCTTCAACCAGAAAGCAGAATGACAAAAGGGGTCAGCACTAGGCGTTATTAATGAGGAACACAAGCGAGATAAATAGCATCTAAAAAACATCAGAGACAGAAATGGGCAAACCTATAATGATTTGCAAACATTTCACATGCATACACCTGTTAAGAACATATTTCTAAAACAACCAAGAGCATGAAGTTCTAGACTTGCCATTCAACCCGTTGCTCAACAACATGACTATTTGGAGCCTCCTCCCGAAGGTAAGCATTAGTTAAGAACCTGTATGGAATTGAGAAATGGAATCACAATTAGGCAGGCATGATGTAGCATCCATGTTCGAGATCTAATCACACAAGCAGGGGAAGGAAATCAAGAAGTGAAAGATCTAATTATGAATGAAGAAAGGAAAAAAAAAAAGCATCAACAAAAGAAATCCAGAATTAGTTTCTTTATCTAGGATTAAATTCTTACAAAAAGGGAAGGTATCACCAAGGCAATTAATGTCATCTCCAGGTGGTAAAACAATATTTTGATGAATTGAAGGCTTTACAAGTTTCAGATTTCAGAACAAGTATCTCAATTATCTAATTATACACAAAGCGTTATATTACTAATGGTACAAAATCTCCTCTCTCCATTTTAGTTCCACACATGTAAAAGTCGATTCTTTCAATGGCTTCAATTAACAAGATATAATTCACCAACTAACTATCATGTGCAAGGCCAGTGGCATTGGCGGCAACATAGGAAGTGCGGATTATTA